GAGGACAGAGATCAGAGAGAGGAGGACAGAGATTAGAGAGAGGGGACAGAGACCAGAGAGAGGAGGACAGAGATCAGAGAAAGGACAGAGATCAGAGAGAGAGGACAGAGACCCAGAGGGGGACAGAGATCAGGAAGAGGGACTAAAGAGATACAGAGGGGGCCAGAAGTCTTTGGGATCTGGGAATCTGGGGCTAGAGTGGGGTCCTCAGGTGGCCGCGGGGTGGGGTGGGAACCGTGAGTGGGTGTCGTCCCAGTGGAAGGTGAGGGGCTGGCTCGGGGTGGGCAGGAGCTGGGTGCACAGGGCTGAGTGCAAGGGGAAGAAAGGGCTCCTAGGTCCCTCGGAGGCTCCGGTGGGGTGGGATAAACTGGAGAACGCAGGCAAGAGGGGGCGCGATTTGGGTTCAGTGGGCAAAAAGCGGAGGGGGAAGGCAGGGGTCCGCCATGGGAGTGAGGAAGGGTCCAATTCTGGGTACTGGGGGGTGGGGTGGAGGATCCCAGAGGCTGTGAGGGGGTGCTGCTTCCTCCGTGGCGGAGGAGACTGGGACCGATGGAGTGAGGGAGACCCTCCCCCTCCCGGGACATGCGCCAGGCGGTCTGCGTGGACCCCGAGTCTGCGCCCTGGGTCCCACTTCTGACGGTCCTGTCTCTCGTCAGTAGGTCTCTGGGTGTCTCTGCATCCCGGGGCATATCTGGTTATCCCTCCTCCCTGAGTGCCCCCTTTCTCCGTCCCTCACCCGACCCACCCGCCCACCTCTCGCCTCTCACCGGCTCAGCCTTTGAGTCCCTGTCTCCCTTCGCCCGTGTCTCTCGCTCTACGGGTCTGGGCGCATCTCTGCGTCTCTCAGAGTCTCTGTCCCTGTCTTCCTGTCTCCGTCTCAGTTTTCTGGGTGCCTCCACCCCCTTCCCGCCCATGTCTCTCTGTCTCTCTGGGTCTCCACATCCTGTCTCTGAGCCCCCCGCCCCCCATCTGTCTCTCCGATTCCAAATCTCTGTTCCAGATTTTCTGAGCTCTCTGTCCCTCTGAGGGTCTCGATCTCTGTGTCTCCCCCCTCCCCCAGACTCCAATCCCCTTTCCCGGACCCCCACTCTGGTTCAGGCCCGGGATGGTGAGGTGGAGGGGGGGGTGCTGCGGCGAGAGCTGTGTGTTCCCAGCACAAAATAGACTCCTGTTGCCATGGCGACGCGAGCGCGGCCTCCGAGACGCGAAGCTTCAGGCTGGGGGTGAGGAGGGGGACACCTGGATCCCGGAAGGCGGGGGCCAGGGGCGCCGACGCCCGGTCTCAGGGGCCCTTGGAAAAGGGGGGAGGTTGGGACTTCTAGGTCCCTGGGGAGGGGGTGTACTAAGAACTTACACGCGGGGGTTCTGGGCCCCTGGGAGGGGTCTGGGATTCCAGGGTCGCTAGTTGGAGGCGCGTATTACCCAAATGGGGGCAGACACCCCTAGGGCTGGAAGCGCTGACGCTGTGGGTCCCTGGGGACCTCAGCGGCTTGTCTTCGTAGGTCCCAGTGTTGGGGGTACAGATTGAATCTCTGGAGGGGAAGGGGCCTGGGGATCCTGCCTGGGGAAGTCTGTAGAGTCCCAACTCCCAGATCTCCAAGGGGGTTGAAGAATTCGGGGAGCCCAATGTGGACCCTCGGAATGTTGCATGTCAGTGGGGTGCAGGGACCACTCTGCGGGAGTATCTGTCTTTCCATCCCTCCATTCATTTATCCATCACAGGCCCGCCGTCTATTTCTCTTCCCTGCTCCCCATGCCTCAGTTTCCCCCTCCGCGCTGAGGTGCGGTTGCGCTCACCTCGCTTTCCGGATGCGGGACCCTTGGGGAATCGGGGGTGGTGGCGGCGTGGGGGACCGGCTGAGAGAGGCTGAGTGAGCGCGTGTCTTCCGAGCCGCTGAGGCTGGGCGTGCGCAAGGCTCCTGCTGATGAGGGGAGCAGCCGGCAGCGTGTCCTCGACCCCCTGCCTGCAGCAGCGCTCTTCCCACGGCAGATACCTGCCCGTTTTCTTGCAGATATGCCTGTGGCCAGCCCTGGCCTCTTGCCTGATGCCAGTTTGAGCAAGGAAAAGGCACCTCCCCCTCCCCACCTGCTGGGGACCTTCTTGCCCACCCACCCCCAGCCCGCAGCCCCCAGGGCACCCCCAAACCCAAGAATGGTTCAGTCCGCAGTCACATCAATGTTTATTCAGCAAGTCCGGGTCCCACACACTCTGTGACACTCCCTCCCCCTCCCCTTTCCGCCCAGGTGGAGTGGTCTGGGCGGCAGCCCTCCACCTCCAGCTCAGCTCAACCAACTCCCTTCCAGCTTCCAGGAGTCTCATTTACATTTCCGGGAGCCAGCGCCCAATGGGAAAGCGCAGATCCACCTCCCCTCCCGAGGGGGCGGTGCTCCCGGTGGACTGCACCACTCCTGGGATCCATGGGTGGGGGGGAACCATTTCCATCGAAGACTGGTTGACATGAAGTGGGTGGTCTCAAGCCAGGGCCTGGAAATCATCTGAAGAGGGGGTTCTGGCCTTGAAAGAGGCCCAGCAGCCCGCTGTCTGGAGCAGGGTCTTTTATAATCTTCTGGATCTGTGTGTGTGTTGGGGGGGAGGTAGTGGGAAGGGCGGAGTTAGTAAGAGTCAAGGGTCCAGGGCCCCCATCTTCATGATGGCAAATCCTGGGGCTATTCTCCATCTTTATTCTCCTTTTCCTATAGCAGCAAATGAGCAAACCCACTTCTCCCTCTTCTTAAAACCTTCCCTGGGACCCCCCTGTCACCCACCATACCTACCTGGTTAGCTCCAATTCAGCTGCCATCTTGGCCCCATTTACCAGTTGGGACCACTATCGGTAGGAGGTTCTCCCCTGAGGGCTTGTGCATACTCCAGTCTTCTTAAAAAGTAGCCTCATCTCTTACACCCCCTCCTGTAGGGCCCTCTACTCCCAAATCTCCAGCTGGACCTTGACACCAAACTCCAATGATCTTAGGGCCCTGTGGACTTGGCCACTTGGCACCTCAAACTTGCTATCTTCCCTCCACCAGTAAATCCTCAGGAACCACCAGGCTGCCTGAGGCTGCCCAGGTCAAAACAGAAAGCAGGAGTCCTTCCCCAGCCCTCTTCCTCCCATAATCCCCACTTCAATCCATCTGAAAATCCTGTCACGTTGACCTCCAGAAAATAATAAAAAATAAAAACATAACACGACAAGTTTGCATCCTCACTGCCTTCACCTGGGCCAAGCCCCCACCCACCCGTTGCTGGGCTGGAGGCTGGCAACAGCCTTCTCATGGGTCCTCCTCAACCTTCAAGCCACCCACCCTAACCCATTGCCACACTTTTGACCAGAGAGCTGCTGTCCAGATTCATAGTGGCCCTCTGCACAACAGAATGAAACACTGCCCAGTCCTGCATCCTCCTCAAATCACTAGGGTGTCTGAGTTCATTGTTGCTGCTACAATGTCAAATGAATCTCGTTGGGGGAGGGGGGGTCTTCCTCTTTTTCACTGACACTTCACTTTACCAAGCATGATGTACTTCTTTCTCCAAGGACTGGTCCCTTCTGATAAAGTGTCCAAATTACAAGAGACACAGTCTCGCCATCCTCACTTCTAAGAAACATTCTGGTTGTACTTCTTCCAACAGATTTGTTTGTTCTTCTGGCAGTCCATGGTACTTTCAATATTCTTTGCCAATATCATCATTCAAATGCATCAGTTCTTCTACTGTCTTCCTTAGTCATTGTCCAACTTCACATGCAGATGAGGCGATCGAAATACCATGGCTTGAGTCTGGGGCATTTGAATCCTCAAAATGACATCCTTGCTGTAGAACACTCTAACAGGTCTTTTGCAGCAGATTTGCAAAGTGCAACGCAACATTTGATGTCTTCACTGCCGCTTCTAAGAGCAGTGATTGTTTTGTCCAAGCAAAAGGAAGTCTTTGACAACGTCACTCTTTTCTCCATTTATCGTGATGTTATTTATTGATCCAGTTGTGAGGATTTTCATTTTGTTTACATTGAGGTGCAATCCATCCTGAAGGCTGTAGTCTTTGATCTTCATCAGTACTTATTTCAAGTCCTCTTCGCTGCCAGCAAGCAAGGTTGTATCATCTGCATGTTGCAGGTTGTTAATGAATCTTCCTCCAATCCTGATGCCACATCCTTCTTTATATAATCCAGATAGATCTCTGTAAACTGTAGGTATGATTGAAGAATGTTTCCTTTGCAAAACCTCACTGCTCCAATCCCACAGCTCTGTAAGGAGGGTTCTGGCTCTGGCTCCTAACCCCTCCTCCCTTCTCCTACCCATCAGCTTGGCTACACACAGCTCCAGGAATACGGTCAGTTCAGTCCTGCCTCAGGGCCTTTGCACTGGCTGTTCCCTGGCTGAGGAACCTATTTGAATGCTGGTTGCTCCTCCCTCTTTAGCCTTAGTTTCCTGGCTACCCCTCAGATGGGTCTCCCTGCCACTCCATCTCAAGGAGGTAACTCTCAAGTTCTCTCTTACACTCTGCACCCCCACCCCTCCCAGTTGCCAGGCCACACTTGGCATGGGCTTTGCACTTTCCTGTGGAGTTGGCTCTGTAAATGGGGACCCAGCGGGGCAGGGCAGGGGAGGTACATGCCTGGTTTGCTTCCTGCTGGCACTGTGGGTTAAGCACTAGACTGCTAATGGAAAGGTTGTTGGTTTGACCCTAGCAGTCACTTCTGGGGAGAACGATGAGGCAGCTTGCTTCCATAAAGATTTATAGCCTTGGAAACCCAAGGGAGTTGCTCTGTTTTGTTCTATAACGGCCCACAATGCGGTGGTGCTGCGGGCTAAGTGTTGGGCTGCTAAAGCAAAAGGTAAGCAGTTGGAAACCACCAACAGCTCTGAGGAAGACGCTGCAGTCTGCTTTTGTAAGGATGACAGCCTCGGAACCCCTATGGGGCAGTTCTACTGTGTTGTGTAAGGGAAGCTAGTGATACTGAGGTTAAGCATTGGGCTTCTAACAGAAAGGACACAGCTCCCCCAAGAGGCGGCAGTGGGAACTGGCAACCGCGGTCCCGCAAAAGGAGACTGGATGCCTGGGCGGAGGAAGGGGTACCCAGGTGGAGGGGAGTCATGGAAGGACGCCATTACCTCCTTGAACTGGGGGTGCGCAGCATCACCCACAAGCTGCAGAATGAGTCCCTCGCTGGTGGAGAGGAAGGCACCACTCTGGCGCATGCGGGACAGCGCCACCAGCCGGTCCACTTGGCTGCATGGGGAGGGACATCAGTGCCAAAGCCTGTTCACGGGGTACCCCATCCCTGGGAGAGGGCCTCACCTGCGGGAGGAACAGGCATCCACCACCACGTGGACCTGCAGCCCGCGGTCCAGGAGGTCCAGGGCAGTGTTCTGGGGAGCAGAGAGAGATGAGAGCCAATCCGGGACACGAATGGGATCCCAGATCAGAGCTGGATACTTGGGATGGGATGAGGAAGTCTCATATCAGGGCAGCGGTACTCGGGTTCGAATGGGAGCAGAGGTCAGGGTGAGGAGGGGTGCCCCACTCAGGGTTCCAGACAGGAAGGGGTCCTGGATCAGGGCAGAGAACCGGGGGCTCTCACCAGGATGCAGGCCTGCGCCTCGATGCCACAGAGCAGCACAGAGCGCAGCTGGGGCCGGGCGTCCAGTTCCTGCCGCAGAGCGGGCACCATGCTGAAGCAGGTTTTTGGCAGTGGCCGCAGGCCCTCAGCCCCTAGCTCCTGCACTGTGGGGCCCAGGCCCCTGGGATACTGCTCCGTCAGCACAGCGGGCACCTCTAGCAGCCGGGCCACCTGGGATAGAGAGGGGACACTGGCCAGCTCTGAGAGAGAAGACCATGGGGGAGGAAGGGCTGGGGGTCAGGACTCCAGGGTCCGAGGCGGTACCTTGAGCATGCGGGCAGCCACAGAGACAATCTCGGGGAAGTAGGCGATGTTGTGGCGGAACTTCTCCTGCATGTCACACAGGAACAGGATGGATGACCCGGGGAGAACTCGGCCCAGGCCAGGCCGGACAGTAGCCATGTCCTGGGGTGGGCAGAGACCCTTCCTAGAGATGGCTACAGCGAGGTGGCAGAGTCCTGCAGGGGAAATGAGAATCGTCCCTAGAGAAAATGCGCAGGGGAGTGATTTCATCCAAGGGCAGGGAACTTGCCACCTATGGTATCAGGATAAAGAGCCGGCCAGTCATACACACACACTGTCATAAGCTGAATTGTGTCTTCCAGAAATATGTGTCAGCTTGGCTGGGCCAAGATTCTGGGTCACGGTTTGGCAGTTATGCAATGATGTGATTTGGCAGTTTTGTGATGTTTCTCCATGATGTGATCCAATGTGATAAAACAGTATGAGGATTACAGGCGGGATGCCGGCGAGTGGGTTCCGACTCATGGACACCTTGTATAGGGTATCCTAGGAGCAGTTGGTGGATTTGAACCACCAACCTCACAGTTAGCAGCCCACTGCTTAGCCTACAGTGCCACACCAAGACTCCTAAAGGTGGGATTTGTTGTTAGGGGCCATCAGTTCTGACTCATAGCCACCCTGTATAGGGTTTCCGAGGAGTGGCTGGTGAGTTTGAACCATCAATCTTGCGATTCAAACTGACCTGGAGGTCGAGTGCTTATCCTACGGCACCACCCCAGAACTCCAAAGGTGGGATGCAACCCCCTCAATTCTACCACAACCATAATTTCATGTAAAGGAGCCCCCCTGCTGGACTGTAGCCTGTAAGACCTTTTATCTAACAAGAGATAAAAAGAGAGAAGTGAGCAGAGAAGACGGTACCTCCTATCACCAAGAAAGAGTGTGTCTTCGGGACCCGGGGCCCCTGCACTGTGAAACTCCTCCATCCAGGAGGAGACTGATGCCAAGACACATGGGGATCTGCAAGGAATGCTGGGTCTACGGATGCTGAGAGGAGACAAGAACCTTTCTCCAGAGCCGGCGCTCTGCATTCAGACTCTTAGCCTCCTGAACTATGAGAGAAGACATTTCTGTTTGTTAAAGGCCTCCCCCTGTAGGATTTCTGTCATAGCATCAGTAGAGACCTAAGACATGCACACCTATATACATACACACACACACACACACACACACGCGGGGCCCTTGACTCCTTGCTGCTCAACTGGACTCTGTGTGGACTGCTGTGTGACCTGCAGGTACTTTGAGTCCAATCTGACTTCCCTACACACAGTCTCTCAGCCTCAATTTACCCAGGGGTCAAACTTGCTGGCTGAATTCCCTTCCAGGACTTAAGAAGACAACGTTCTACATCCTACTTTGGCGAGTAGTGACTGGGGTCTTAAACACCTATGAGCAGGTGTAATCTTACAGTCCAGAAACAGAGGACCCTAGGACCATCAAGAGAGAAGAGCATGAGTGGAAT